GGACTCTCCAAATTAAAATCAATAAAGGCGATTACACCAGGCAAATGAGAGTTTAGCTTGGTTAACAGTACGCAAGTAAAAAAATTCTAAATTTTTTTTACTTATGGATCGATTCTAGCAGACTCGTAAATCTCATAACTTGTTCTCGTAAAATTTGTAAGAACTCTTATAAGTGACATTATAACTCTATGCGTATGTACCGTGAGATATACGATCATTCGTATAAATTTATTAGATTTCTCGTAAATCTTATGGCTAGCAAGATGCTGTCTGTAAAGATATTGCATAAAGTTTGTAAAAACTTGTAAGTTCTTACAAATCTTACGAGAACAAGTTATGAGATTTACGATTCTGCAATTGACCCGTTAAAATCCTTTAATTCCATAAAATTGTTATACGTTTCGACTCACTTTGGAGTCTTTAGTAATTGTACATGTCTCTCTTTTATGTGTATGTTCTTTCGCAGTTATGATGCACGTTATATTGACGCACGTATTTTCGCTAACACGTCTATTTTATTCTGTATATATTTAATATATTTACTAGAGATTTATTTGCAAAATTGTTGTAATTAATTTATTTGCGATGTGATTTAATTGACTACGTAATTGATCTAAACTTTCAAGACGAATGCTTTATGTTTTGAGATTTCGCTACATAAAATTTGTCAATTTGCTGTCGATTTATTTTTTACGCATAAAGGAGAGACATATACAATCGCTGAAGAAGACTCCGAAGTGAGTCGAAACGTATAATTTTATGGAATTAAAGAATTTTTTTTTAAGTAAAAAATTTTATAATTTATTTACTTGCGTACTGTTAATTACGCCGAACTCTTATTTGCTCGGTATAATTGTCATTATTGATTTTAAATGATATTGTATTATTTTATATTATATTATATTATTTTATTAATAAATTATAATAATAATCGGACTCTCGAGGTATAAATAATATAAATATAATATAAATAATATATTAATGTCAACGGGCATGTGACAGTAATATTCAACGCAGTAATTAGTGCGTATTTATATAAACAGTTTATTTCGTCTTACAGTACATTCCGAACATTTCGGCTTCTTTCAAGCCATCATCAGCGAAGAATTTTGTCTAAAAATTACATAATAAAGTCTTTATACATCGATATTCCAAATTTGCATATGGTGAGTTTCTCTTTCAATTTTAAGTTTTGGAATCTCTGTTCAATTAGTTGTTAAGCTAATCTTATTCCTTTGCATTTTGGATTGTTGAATAATTCTTAAATGATAATATTGATAATACTACAAGTATTGATTCGTACATTGATGGATACAGTCACTAGATAAAACTTAATTTAAACTTTGTTGTATTACTATGTATTTGAAAATTGATAAGCTAGATATGAATCATTTAAGAATTGTTGTATGAAGACTTTATTACATATACATAATTTTTAGACAAAATTGTTCGCTAATGATGGCTTGAAAGAAGCCGAAATGTTCGGAACGTACTGTAAAACAAAATAAACTGATTATATAAATACGCACGGATTACCGCGTTAAATATTACTCTCATAAGCCCGTTGATTACATTAATATGTTATTTTATATCATATTATACATATTGTATTATAAATAAAACATTTGTTACATTATATTTTATATCATACATTTCAAAGTGATATTTTTCTAAAATGCTTATGTACTACATTTCTGATTGGGCAATAATTAGTTACTTTTTATTCAGGTTAACATGTTCATTACAGTACGGCCTGTGAAACGTGACATTTTGTGTATCATAGAATACAATCCTACAACGACGATGATATGTCAATCTTGTAGCCTATTCGACAACTGTTGCTGGGAACGCGATGACACATGTTGTCAGAAGTCTGGCCCAATCAATATTCATTTTACGTTAGTTTTTCCTGACATGACTCAATTCGCAAAAGTGTCGCGTATAGTGATACATTCGAGCGAGACGAGACGAGAAAAAACATAAAATAGGAAAAGCTGAATAAATATAATACATATGCGCGTGAATAATCACGCAAGGATCGATTAATTAGTAACGTGATAATTAATTCGCACAATCTCCGTTATTTTGAATTTAATATAATAATATATTCTCCCCATTTATCATATTTAATAACCAAACATATAATTATATAATGTACTGCTTGGTTTGTACGACTTAAATGTCACGTTATGAGTTAATCGATGTTTATTTAGCTTTTCCTATTTTATGTTTTTTTCGCTTTTCGCTCGACACTCTTCGATCGCAAACGCGATGTAAAGAAATATCCGAGCAAAAAGAAGAGATTGATTTCAATCTAAGACTGCAGTATTTTTGTTATCCTCAAAATACATTTATTATTTGTAAATATCAGTTTATTAAGTATTAAAAAATTCGAAAAAAATTTTAAAATGTAGTCTGACACACGAAGAAACCAAAAAGTTATATAATTTTGAACATCACGTCCCCACGTTTTTCCGAAAGTCTATCACCATGTGTGTGACCTGTGGCCGATGTGACCATTAATTATTTAACATTGTTTAAATAAATAATGGGGGCGTAATGTTCAAAATTATTGGGTGAGATACAGGAAGCAAATAACTAATCCGTAATTACTAATTGAAGTGGATTACGGATAAAAAACATATTTTCAAAATTCGAAAACTTTATTCGAACATCGCTTCAATGAATAATTTCTTCAATGAATAATCGCAACTCGCCAACTCGCGTAAAAGAGGCACGATGCGTCTCGCGCTGCGCGTTTCACTTGGCGCGAGAGACTATACCGTGTCTCTTGATAGAAAAATTTTTCAACATTTTCAACATATACCCGTAGATATACGAACGTGAATAACAAGTAGACGTGAAACACGAATTCTGTTCCTGTGTCATCGCGGGAAATTTAGAAATTAGTTTCCAAATCTCGCGTTTAAATTTTTATTAAGGAAATACCTCCTTTCTTTCTCTCTTTTCCTCTTGTTACTGCGAAATTAATTCGGAACGACATCGATATACTCACCACCGAGTGGCACAGCTCGATAACGTTAATTTGGAAATTTTACGAAAACACATACGTCTCTCTCGCGAATGTACATTACGGTGCATTAGCGAAACGAGATGTACTTTTTCACCCTTAGTTTCAATTGCTATCTCGCTGCGGATACAAAACTCAACTCGAAAACGCATCCCGAACGTCGTATATCCCGCGTCTGGTCCACAATACGATCGACAACTAATCTTCCATAAACAAGCCGCTTCCTGAACTTCTCTTCACCAAGCTTTTTATAGTTTTCGGTACCAATACCTTTACAACACATCGTTACTAAATCGCGAGTGTTTAAACAAATATTGCTTTATAATCTTATTTATTAAATTTAAAACAGAAGGCTATTTAAAAAAATAAGGAGCACAATAAACGTCGCGTCTTTTCGCGTTACCGAAAAATTTATCCCACCTGCGAAACATTTTCTTTTTATTCTTTATTCCACGAGAATTACCCTCAATTGTAAAAATAAACTGCCACAATTACGAGAATAACTTTTTTCTTGCTTCGTTATGCTGTTAGTAAAAGAAGAAAAAAAAAAGAAATCTATATCGTTTACGATTAAACTCTTGACTAAGCTTTTGTCTTTATGTCTCTACAAATTTCCGTTGTCATAGAAAAAAAATAAGATGTAAAACACGACTAAATAAAGAAGGAATGAATGACGAGAGGAAGAAAGTGCACTCTACTATAGATAGAGTATAGAGTATACACTAATAAATAATTTTAATTATTCATAAACGATACTCACAGCTGTTATCTTGTTGATGAAGGAACCTTCTACTTTCGTTCTCTCTAGCTATGTAATCACGGTAGCACTGGTCCCGTAATCTGTTTCCGGGGGCCCGTTTAATCTTCTCTTCCTCTTCTTTACAGGTCGCGAATCTCGTCGCAAATGACGACTACTGCCGGGCGATCAATCGACCGTGTAGTGGGGATGATTCTCCTGGAATGATGATTGGTAGCAGGGTACGTTTTGGTATCGTCAACCAACAAGAAGAGACCAGAATGAACTCTGAGAGTTTCGAGGGCGAATGATTGGTGGTACTCGCGCTAGCTACATTTATACCGCGGGCTCGTTCTCTCTTTCTTTTTCTCTTTCTCTCTCTCTCTCTCTCTCTCTCTCTCTCATCCCCCTCGCCACTCTTTTCCACCCCCTACTCTCTCCTATCCCTCGTTCTTCGTGGAGCTCGCGAAAGAGCGAGAGCGGATCGGCTCTCTCTGGTGGGCGCCACATATCCACCACCACCATCACCGATGGACGTACGCATTCCTCCTCTGCTCGTCCTCCTGCTCGTCTGCATGAGGGTCCGTATCCTGGCATCGTATGCTTTTACGTCACCATCACGGTCATCCCACCCAAAAAATATGGGAGGATGGAGAACGAAAGGGGGCAGAGAAGGGATTGAATTTTGAAACTGAAATGAAAAGTCGCGACCGAGAGACATCGTTGTTGCAGCTACAAGAGCGAACACACATGCTTCTGATATAAATGGCTCGTAAATTATATTCTCACAAAAGTATATTTTCATTATTGTAGCATGAAGGGTGACTGTGATAAGAGCGGAAAATACAGTAAATTTCCTTCGAATGCTCTTCTATCGATAGCCTGAGACTTGTCTTTTTACTTATCTCTTATAAAAAAATCAATAGGTTAGTATTGTAAAATATTACCTTATTATTGAGAAAATCAGGAATTCTATTTTAACTTTCAACTTTGACATTTCTGCTTAGTTTTTACGAGTAAAATATACAAAAATGTACGCAGACAAAAATTACAGCGGTTCCATTTAGCTCTTTTATATAAAGAGATATTCTTCACCACAAAAAGTCTTGTATTAAGGGGGATCCTAGTTAGAGCGCTAAGAAATAGAGCAAATTTGGACTTTTTTTTAAAACTATTGTATAATTCCTAAAAACTTTAAATTTTATAGTCACTTTTACACATATTTATTAGTTAATTACAAATTTTTTCAAATGATTTTATTAAAATTTGTCCGAGATATACTTCATATTGCGAGACGTTTCGTGTAACCATAATTTGCTGTTGCATTGTAGTACGTAAGGCCCATTTAAATAAATAAATATTTCGGATACAAAATTTTTTTAAATAATTAATATATTTTTTAAGTAAAAACTTGTTTGAACAAAAGGTTTGATTTTTTTATTACTTTTTCGACGTCTTTTATAAAAAAATAGCGTATTATTAAGATTTTATTAGTTTTATAAGTTTATACAAAAAATATAACAGTTATTTTGAATTATCCAAAAGTTAAAACCAATCTGATTATTAGTTTTTGAATTACGATATCAACGGACTTGAAAAATACGATTTCGAGAAAAACGCGTTAAAGTTTTAGATACTATATTTATACACAGTTTTGTATATTTACAATTAATTTCTGGTTAATCTGTTATTCCTGGTCCATAAAATATATTTTTTACTTTCTCAAAAAATTCTTTTGTCTCTTTTATTACTTTAATCAGCAATAGAACTTCTTTTTGTAGTTTGAGCGATCTTTATTTTTCTGCTTGCGAGAGTCGTTTGTTTGCTGTGATTCATAAACATTTTGCATTGTTAATCAATAATTATGCTCATTGTCTCCATAACTTTCAGAATTGTTACATAGTCCTCATTAAAGATTCCCACAGCCAAATATGCACAAGATTCGATAACTTTTGAGCCAGTATGAAGGTGTTTGAGTTCTAGCCGTTGTGTTTCAATAGATACATAAATATTTTAGTTTATTATATATGTAAGAAAGTTTATTGTATATGTAAGAGACCCTGTTTCTTTTGTTGGACGCTTAGAACAAAACAGATCTCCGTGCACTGAGCGGATTCCTTACCTGAATGCATCAAACGGTCGGACGGCTCTACCTACTAAATCGCTTATATATTCGTCAATTTTTCGAATTTCGAAATAATACTTCAGAAACATATTTTTTTAACAAATTCAACAGTTAAAGGGCTACGAACCAATTTAGTAAAACAGAAATTTTTATTCAAAAAACAAAAAAATACTACATAAATATAATATTCAGACGTTTCGACACCAATTGAGTTATTTTCAATGTTGTATTAAAATTACAAAATGTTCACAAGAAAATACATATTTTTCCAAATATTATATCTTCATATCTTGTATTAAATGTTGTATCAATAATTAAAAAAACTCATGTCAGTTATTAAAAATTATTTAGCAGTGAAACAATATAAATGTAGAAAGTAATCGTTTACATTTAATTCGCAACAAAAATAAAGTCAGTACTAATCAAAATAAAGTACTAGTAAAATATATTAACAATGGATACCTTGTTTTAAATAAAAGTTTTACTATCAGAAAATTAAAAAAAATTTATTTTTTGAAGGTTTTAGACTCGGAACCTCCTTAAAGTTTTAATATTTAGGAAAGTGTGGATGTGTATATTTTCTTGATATGCTCTATCTTTAAACGCACACATAATTGTTGACACTATTATTTTTAAACTATAATATTATATGAAGATAATAAGCTAGATCTTAGCCTTTTATCAAAGGCATTTTTAATTTTTTTTATTTATCTCGCATAAAATATAAACATTTTACAAAGTAAGACAGATAAAATACAGATATCTCATAAAGTATACTTTAGTTTTCTGATATGTAACAGAAAAAATAAATATTTATATATTTTTACCTTTTCTGATATCTTCGTAGACTTTATGTAGACGTTTTCAACATTTTTCTATGAAAGGAAATATCAACAAATATAATTGTTTTCGAATTGGTTATCATAAAATTGCGATACCCTTTACTTACCGAGGTCACACTGACGCCAACGTAATGGTCGCATTACTGAGATTTAATCATAGTAATTGCAGACAAGATTAAGATAGATCATGGATTTATTTAAGACAAACTATATCCTTCATTGCCAAGGCACGTGTGATGACCGTAAACGCGCATTTAGCACATTTACGACACCATAAATGATGAACAGCCATGTACACGCAGAAATACTATGAGATATCAATACAATCTGCGGAGCGCGAAAGGTTATTCTTAAGAATCGCAATCTCTTTGACGAAAATCACCGTTGCTTACGCCGGATCTGTATACACAAGCAAACGTTGATTTCACCAATCTATAACGTAACATTTCCATTCACTGCAATATAAGAAAATCCTACAAATCCACTTCTAAAGGAAGAACGTTCATGATTCCTTTTCTTTTTTTTTTTTTTTTTAATTTTTATCACCGTTATGCGACTTATTTAAAAATCTTGGAATTTGACGAAGTCAAATAAGTGTAATAAGACGAGACTTTTTGTGATATTTTGTGATAAAGTGCGATCTCTACCACCGTTATAGTTATATCTTTTTATTATTACAGATTTGAATTTTTCTTCGGTGTCCTCAAAAAAAAAATCCACGTACACTATTAGAAATGTTCGTAAATTTCATTAACATTTAACATATAACAACCACGAGCATGCAATCAATCAAAAAATAAATTTATTTTCGTGACCACGCTTACATTCGTCCTATCTTGGATACAAGTAGTATGAATAAAAGTATACGCTGACAGGTAGTATAAAATGATACAATAAATGACACTAAAAATTATAGAAAAATTATGCTTATACATAAATTTACTTTAGTTTGAAATTTTATTATATTTATTATACATGTATTTTACATTATATTTTCTAACAGATTTACATTGAATAGAGAAAAAAAAATTAAAATAAAGAACATCGATGGAAACTCTTATTGTTGAAATGTTTTTATCCGAAAATTTTATTATCATTGCGCTGTGTTTTTAATTTCGTTTTCTTAATTAACAAGAATAGTTTGGAATTAAATTTTTATGACAATCGCGCCTTGACATATGGTATTTGAAATATATCGATTCTATTGATGCCATAAAATTATACTTGTATATTATATACTTTGCTTTCTTTTACGATCGTCATTGATTTGACAAGTTATAGCATAATAGTTCAAACATTTTTCCAATGCCTATCAGTATTGATTAAGATAAGCGACTTCTATACTTGCTATATGCGGACTATGATATTTAACACATTAATGTTTCAAGGCCGTGATACCTAAAATACGCATGAGTCACAATTGCAATTCGATCAGAAACGGTAATCATGAATAACAAAATCGCGGTACATTCCGATTAATTTGATAGTCATACAAATCATGTCAAAGCGATAAAGCGCAGGTGTGAATAATTGAGAATGTAAGGCGATTCGTATCCATGAACATATAAAAATTATATCACAATTTCGGCGCAATGTATATTACCGATAAGGCGCTGCTATAAAATGCTCCATTAAAAACCTAAAGCAATTCACATTCACGACGGTATATAAGAGTCAAGAAGCGATTCGCTGAATAAATGGCATAATTCGCTGGATATGTCAAGCAAGATTAATCTTGCTGTATAATAGCGATATACATATAATAGCGACATATAATATATTTATATATATATTAATATTAGCAATATATAATTATATGTATATCGCTCTCGTTACAAAATTTTCACTTGACGCTTCGATTTATTGTCAATGTAATAATTCTGTCACTGTGTTAAATGACAAATAAAATGTTACAAGAAGCGTGTCTTTTTCTACAAATACGCAGATATTCATAATTGTCATAAAACTTATTTTAAAAAATTATCGTTAGAAATAAGAAAAGCACATAAAAGTTTCCATATTATTCTTATTCTTAAAATTTATAACGTCATAATTAATAAAACAAAAATTAATTTTAAATATTTTGTCGTCATTTACTACAATTTAATTCGATCTTAATTCCGCTATCTAACATTGTCAGCTGTCATAATAAGTTTCTCTCTTTTAAGGTCATAAAAAGTTAATAAAGAACAAAGGCGATCACTAACGGCGAATATTGTACGCGTCATCGGTAGACAGAAAACAGACTTTACGGCGCCATCGTTTCTAATTCCTCCAAAAGATCTGTATAATTCGGTATTCATAAACGAAATTGATACTTAGAGATCATATCTTCGAGACAATAAATATAAATGTCTTCTCAAAGCGCTTATATCCTTTATGTACGCCGTTTTTCTATATTCATTACAATCGCTAGCGAGCATTTCAGGAACTTGCGATCCGATTAAC